GCCCACACTACCCAAAGGTCTCTGGGCGGCTTACAGCATTTAAAATACAATAAAGATATGTACAATTAAAATACAATTAAAATATATATAAAATTGCCATCAGACCCACAGTTAATATTATTTCAGTTAAAAGCCTTCTGAAGTGGACCCCAGCCAAAAAATGATTACACCAAATGTAATTCCATTTCCCAGATGCCACAGTGCATCCTCCAGACTGAAAGTTCTGGAGAAGGAAGCAAGAGAAAGAACAATGTAGAAGAGGGGGGAAAGATAAAGAAATACAAAATACAGGGGGATGGAGTACAGGCAGATCAGAAATAGAGGCAGAGGACAGAAAAAGCAGAAACTGCCATCAGGTGAGACTTAGGGGAGATGAAAAAAAAACAAGACGAAGATACAGAAGGGAAAAGGAATCAGGATGTAGGCAAACGGAGATCAAAGAGCCCTTTCCAGATGGGAAAAAGAATCAGGATGTAGGAGAAGAGGATGTAGGAGAAGACAAGAGGAGGAATGACACAGGTTCAAACAAATGAACAAAAAAGATGAGATGATGGGAGAACACAGACAAGCAATTTGGTGAAAATGGAGGGAGCAGAGGTAGAAAGAAGAAAAATGGGTAATTAAGATTTTAAAAAAAGAAAGGAGGTATGAAATTGGAAACACAGTAGAAAGGGGAAGATAAATTATGTGAGAGATAGAAAGGAATGCCGAACAGATTTCACTCTCAAATTCACTAGAAGGGGCTGATTTCCCCCATAGGAGGTCCAGAATAAATGGCTCTTAGCCTACTCTTGCTTTCTAGGAAGATCATTAAGTTTCCTCTTGCCCCAAATACTGTTTTGTCAGAGCTTGTATGCATCTTAAAATGACATGAAAACATTCCACTTACCTGAACAGAGGGTTGCACTGTGGGCATAGGTTGATCCAAAGTTGTAAAAGCAGACATAGCTGACATCAAGACCTCATCACTCACTAAGATATTTCCCTGCACTAGAGTCTGGATCAAAGGAGATGGCGGGACAGTAATATATGTTGAGATCTGTTACAAAGAGGGTGTTAAAAAAACTTTCATTCAATCTCACCATAGAAAGTAAGAGTTTGCTCACATTAAAACAGGACAGAATAAAACATTATTTCTGGTATTTGCAAACTTGTACGCTATGTTGTCAGAAGCATCTTGCCACAGCATCGTGATAGCATAACTTAAAAAACATAAAACTGAATTGAGGTATGATCAGAGCTTGGCCAATCTACTTTCTTCATGTGTACTTCTCAGAACCCCTTAGAATAGGTCTTGGGGATTATGGGAGTCATGATCCAAAAATGAAATTCTACCAAGTTTTAGATAATGTACATCATTGTGATCTTGTGAATAAATGTATGAACACTAATTTTAGACTACAGCATGGAAGACACACCATCACATGCAGACACGAGAGAAACAGCCATAATATATTACGTACGCCTAAATTATGTTTTAGGTATTCTACAACAGGGTGGGCAAAATATAGTTCATGGGTCACATGCCATTCCCAGGAGCCCACACTTGGACCCCTCAATCTCCTCACTCCCCTACAACTTCTAAAACAAAAAGGGGGATTTCAAAATCCCCTTATGCTCCTCTCTAGGGCATGGGAAACAATTCTGTCATTTTGATGGAACCCCAGCTCCCACTCCAAACATTGTACACTCTTTTTTTAAAAAAGTCACTAGAAGGTATAAGGGAGGGTTTCCAGCTTTTTTTAAAAAAAGTCTTTCTAAAAAGAAAAATATCTTGGGTTTGAGAAGATGTATATCACTGTGGCTCCAACACATGCAGCCCTCAGACCTCTGGAGGCTGCCACCTGTTCTACACTACTGTAGACCCTCCTGTAAGAAACAGAGAAATACTTTGGAGGAAAGTTACAATTCTCAATAAAGAACTGCAGATGGTTTATAGCTACAGTGGTGCCCCGCTTTACGTCAATAATGCGTTCCATCAAAATCGCTGTACAGCGAAACTGTTGTCAAGCAAAATAAAAAAACCATTGAAATGCACTGAAATGCGTCAATGCGTTCCAATGGGAAAAATACCTGATCGTGCAGCAAAGATCCTCCATAGGGCAGCCATTTTCCGCTCCCTGTCTTGCAAAATGAGGTCAGCAAAATAGTTGGGAGCCATTTTGAGAGCAGCCGATCAGCTGTTTTAAAATCGTCGTGAAACAAAAAATCGGTTCCCGAAGCAGGGAACCGATCATCGTAAAGCGAAAAAAAACCATTTGAATCATCATTTTAGAAAAACGTCATCATCAAGCGATTTTGTCGTCTACCGGGGTAATCGTCAAGCGGGACACCACTGTATCTCATGCTATCTTGTTTATGGCATAGATATCTCCAAGCACTCAGTTTTCCTACCTGGCGATTGGTGGTCTGAGCTTGCTGCACTGACGTAATGGATGGTGTGTACACGCTGTTAGTAGCCAGGGAAACAGTAGCCAAGGAGGGGGTATTTCCTTGACATTGCTCTCGCTTGTGCGTCATGAATGCCGATAATGAGTTGAACTGTTTCTTACACTTTCCACAAAGGAACACATCCTCATCATCTGCAATCAGAGAAGGAAAAGTTATTGATCCATCTCCAGAGGCCTTTCTCTGGAATTCTCTCTCTCACCACCAATTTCCTATATAGATATCAAACTTAAATGGTGTAATATTAATTTGAAGGTGCTTCTGATGCATTAGCCTATTACAACCTACTGCCCTCCAGCGTGCTGCAGCACTAACTTTCATAATCTCTAGCTAGCGTGGTCTATAGTAATGCTGGCTGTGGATGATGGGGCTGTAATCTAACACCTGGGAACACTGGCTGGAGAACCCTAATGCACATTGCTTCTGGGATAATGTAAGGAATGTTTTAGAATCTAAGCTAGGAAAGTAAAGTCAGTTTTAATTTATTTAAAACATGTAGTTTTCAGAGTTTTGACATATGCAAGTCACCTTTTTTACATATAGCTTGTTCAGAAGCATCACAAATAACAAAGTTATAAGACAACTGGCCAATAGTGCTGTCTTTTCCATCTCCCTTAGTATGTACACGAGAGACTTACCCATGGACTGGATGGTGGTGGATGTATTCACATTTTGTGCCGATGGATCTGTTACTCCTCCTTGACCATCTAACAATGACTGAACAGCCAGCACTGTCTGATTGTCCATTCCTGAAGGGGCCAGAAATGGTGATTAGAGAGACTGCAGTCTCAAACACCCCTTTCTAGAATGAACCTCCCAATTGCATCGTGTTCACCCACATGTTCTCATTCCACCATCTTCCAAATTGTAAATGTGAATTATTATAATGAATCATGCTAAGGATTCCAAGAAATCAATGAGATTGCTAAGCCTTTCTCAATAAACTAAAAATGGCCGAAGCAAGATAGTTATTTCCAGGACACAATTGCAGGAATTAGCTCAAATAGGGACGTGGTGGCGCTGCAGGTTAAACCGCTGAAGCCTCTGTGCTGCAAGGTCAGACCTGCAGTTGTAAGATCAAGTCCACACGACGGAGTGAGCCCCCGTTGCTTGTCCCAGCTCCCGCCAACCTAGCGGTTTGAAAGCATGCAAAACTGCAAGTAGATAAATAGGTACTACATCAATGGGAAGGTAACGCCGTTCTATGCCTAGTCGTGCTGGCCACGTGACCACGGAGGATTGTCTTCAGACAAAATGCTAGCTCTATGGATTGGAAATGGAGATGAGCACTGCCCCCTAGAGTCGGACACGACTGGACAAATTGTCAACGGGAACCTTTACCTTTACCTAGTTTGCTATTTGACTGGCAGCTCTCTATTTCATTAGTTTATTTTCCAGAGCAGAAACAAATAGAATTCCACTGTCTGGGGTCTTTCAAATACTTAGGCATAAACAATGAGCTCCACTAAATATACTGTGTACAGTTTAAGATCAGCTCCCTTTTTCACTCTCAAGTAACCATGTATGGCTCCAGTCCAGTCCAGAATTACTGCATATGAGTGGAGGATAATTAAAGGACGTAAAGCTTCCTTGATGTCTAAATTACCTAACAGTATGGAGCCTAAAAACGAAGACAGGAAAAAGCACTCAAAAAGAGCAAGGAAGCGTTGTTTCTTTTTTTAAAAAACAGTTATGCAATGTGGAATAATAATCAACCATGCCAGCCATGTTTTACTGATGTTCTTCCGAACGTTCAGTATAAATCTTACAAAGAAGCTGCAGTCTGCATATTTCCAGAGAACCATGCCATACAATTAGCAATCATACCATCACATATGTGAAATAGGAGGTAAATTTTCTAAGTAACTGAACAAAACACTGACTTTCCATGCAGACGTGAGCTGTCACTTACAACCTGAAGAAAAGTAGTTGACTACTTGCTCAACATCTGCTAGTTTGGACACTGACCACACCTTGAAGACTTGTTACAACTGCTTTACTGCATGTGCAGGGTCTGTCTACCCACATGCACACTATCTATGTTGATATTTCTTCTGTGCACCTCACTTTGATCTCCTCTCCTGATCACAATTTGTGAGGTAAATTGGTCAGAGCTTGTGTTACTCAATGAGATCCAAATTTAAGGGCAGACATCAGGAGCCTAGAATTAAGCAGTCCAAGTCTGCTACTCTAGAACCATTCACCCCAATTCATTTCTTCATTACCAACACTGCCTGTGTTCGAAAATTGCTTATATAACATTTGTCACAGATAGGAAAAGATGCAGGTGAAGGAGAGACAGGAAAAAGAGAGAAGGAACAGAGTGAGCCGTCCTCACGAATAGCGACGTCGGAGATAGGAGAGAGGGAAAAAATAGAATGAGAAGACTTGATTGTAGTAGAAAGAGAAGAGAAAGTTGATATCTGTCTGATGGAGGGAGAAGGAGAAAAGGAGGAGGAGTTAATTATACCAGTATGGTATAAAAGCTGAAAGGGGGAGGAGAGTTTTTAGTATATCCAGGGAAGAGACTAGGAAAGAGGAGAAAAGTAGAGAGAAAAAAGTGAACAGAGATATGAAAGAATGTGTGGGTTATTAGAAGATTTACCTAATTTGAAGGTAGGAAGATTACTACCTGTCCCCGACTTGTCAAAGGGAAAGGGAACGTGGACAGAGGTGCTAGAATGGACAGTTATGGTCTTTCCGCAGGGACCAGGTCACTTGAGGAAGGTGATCCGACCAGACCAATCCTTCAGCCAACCACCACTGGAGGGAGATTGGGCCAGGCACCCTTATTGCGGGACAATTTGCACGGTTTGGAGTGCTCCAAAGAGGAAACCCACCGACCGGGAACATTTTGGAACAGCCCCTCAATGAACCTTGGCAATTTACAGACAGATTTCACGTCTTCACACTTAGGACAGTTGCCAGATCTCACTTGTTTTGAACCCATAGGAATCGTTGTGGAATCAGCAAATGTTAAGCCAAATAAATCTGTTAATATTTCAAAAGAGGCTCAGTCATTTCCCGCCAAAAGAGAGGAGTTGCTTCAAATTCCTAACGAAATTGATCACAATGCAGTTAAGAATTTGAGCAACAAGCAGCACTTGGAAAATTTAGACGGTACTTGGTACCCAGATTTTTCAATAGGACAACCAAGGTCACCCTCCTCTATTTCTGTGCAGGAACGTGTATTTTTGATATGCAGTGCAACTCTTCCCCGCCTTTCTAATCTTTTCTGAATGATTTATTTTCTTCAACTGCTGTATTCCAGTCATGGGAGATGTCTATCAAGTTATATTTACCCTTCTGAACTTAGATTTCCAATTCTTCTTGTATGTTTCCCATATTCTTGGCATTTGTATAAAGACACTGGAGATTGTGAGATTATCTTTTATAATGATGCCTTCTGTGATTTCTCTCCATGTCTTCCTGGCTCTGCATTCTTTCTAATCAAAGAAAATGTTATTATGTGCTGTCAAGTCACTTCCAACTTGTGACAACTGTAATGGGTTTTTGAGGTATGTGAGATGTTTAAAAAGTAGTTTATCACTGCCATGCACTAGAGAATTTCCATAGCTGAGTACAGATTTTTACCCAGGTCTCAGGAGAACAACACTCTGTCCACTATACCATACTGCCTCTCATCACAGAAAATATATTAAGAAATGAATAAACAGCTACATAGCGCTTTTAATAGGCAGTGATAGGAGCCATCCATCTGGAAACACTATGTCATAGGTTATCTAGATGGAAAGTTAGTACTGTAACACTCTCCCCAATAGACCCCATACAATATGTGAAGCAGAACATAAAATGATTCGTGCACTATGCAAATCCTTGGCCTTGTTCAGCACGGAGATGATCAGCCTCTTTATCACTGGCAAAACATTCCACAGGCACAAACACTTTAGGGCAGAGGTCGTCAACCCCCCGGTCTACAACCTAGTGCCGGTCCATGGCCTGAGCCGGACTGGACTGCAGAGACAGACCTTCTGTCCCCCCACACGCACTCCCCTCCCAACAGCTGCTTTGCACACATGCACGCATGCCAGCACCTGCATGAGCACTCCCCCACTCCTTCACATATGCACCCAAGCACCCGCGTGAAGGGGTGGGCTGGCACGCGTGCAGGCGCTCCTGCTTTGCGCATGTGCCTGAGGGTACCCGTGCATGCACCCAAGAGTGTGCCTGCACCTGTGCGCACCTACACAAGTGCAGCAGGGTGCCCCGCCTTCCTCAGAGGCTCAGCCGGTCCGCAGTCCCAAAAAGGTTGGGGACTGCTGCTTTTTTTGTTGTGAGCCGCCCAGAGACCTCTGGGTAGATTGGGCGGAATAGAAATTAATTAATTAAATAAATAAATAAATTTAGAGGACTTGTCTCTTGATTCATTTGTCTCTTGGTTCAAGGGGAAGAATTGTTTTAAGTCATAAGGTGAACTAGTGAAGTTCACTATGATTAATGGCTATAACCAGGATATTTCTAGGCAAGGATGGGGACTTCAGCCGCAGGACTCACTGTCAAGTCGAACTTAAGTTGCACTGGCGACTTGACTCAGACTCCAGTTTTTTTCTTTCTTTCAATGACTCAGACTCAACTCACAACCAACCCACACCCTTCCTTTTTTCTGGGGAAAAAGGCTTGTTTTTAATAGGAATTCAGGACTCAGTACCAAAGACTCGGACTTGAGACTCAGACCCAAAGTCTTGCCAACATCCCTGCTTCTAGGTAAAGCTTTTATCTTGCCATTGCCATGCCTCAACCACAGAATTTTATGAGGAGAGAATCCTGATTACATCTTTTGTGTGTCAGCCCCCTATGTTTTTCCACTACTTCTCCTCTCTTCATGTTGAAGTGTCGGGAAAATCCACAAAAAAGTAAAGATGAAATAAGTGAGCTCTGCCTTTTGACTGGCAGTGCTAAAAATTTTCTGTCTGGAAGCCTCCTTACAGGCTACCCTCTGGAATGTAATTGATAATATGCAAATTAGTTAATAGTTTCATTAAATTAGCTTTCCTTTTCTTCTCATCGGACAGAAGCAACTTGGGCATCAAGCTCAGTACAAATGCAGCAGCTTTCCTCTGTTCCTATTCTCTTCCTCCTCTACCTCTGGTGGCTTCCTAAGAAATAGTTTTTTTTCCTTTCCCTTCCTAGATATGCAGGCTGCCTCTCAAGACCTCCAACTAAAAACCATAAGCTTCTGGTCACAGAACTGAGCAAAATGTGATCATTTTTATGTATGCATTCAAAATGTACCAAGTACTCTAGCAGAATAAAAATGCAATTAGCACCAGAATTATGATACAGTGGTGCCTCAATTTACAACCATAATCCGTCCCAGAAGATGGGCATAAGACGAAATGGTAGTAAATCGAAGCACCATTTCCTATAGGAATGCACGGGAACGGGATTAATCTGTTCCAGGATTTTAAAAAAGAAAAACAAAAAAAACTCTAAAACACTGCAAGCCCATCGGAACGCAATGGGGCTGAAAAAAATAAGAACACATACCAAAAAAGGCACTGCAAGCCCCATCAGAACACTATGGGGCTGTAAAGAAAACAAAAAAACCCACACAAACAAACAAAGCCAGTCCCATCGAAATGCGATAGGGCCGCCAAAAAAAATCACCAAAAAACAAGACAGCACAGAAACATAACCCCCCCAGCCCAAAGACACCCTGCAAAACCCTGTAAATGTACTCACCACCCAGGAGCAGAAAGCAGCACCAGGCAAGCCTCCTTTGACGCACACATTTGTAGCTCTTTCGCCCCAACGGTTATTTGAATTCCCCGCCTTTTTCCCTGCTCTTTTCTGGCTGCAACTCAAAACCCCAGCCGCAAGTCGAAGCAAAATTTTGCAGCTGGAGCTGGTTGCAACTCAAAATGGTTGTATGTTGGGATGTTTGTAAGTCGAGGCACCACTGTACTGATATTTATGAAAATATCCAAAATATCTTAACACTGTCCAGAACGCTAAATATTTAGACACAAGTTTATGCATGTTTGAATGATATTAAACTCTAAGCAGAGTGGACAAAAATCTGTGCTTTAAATTAAAATCTTTAACACTGAAAATAAATTTAAAATTGATTTTTAAAATGTAAGCAAGTTTTTAGTGTGATTTTAAAAATTAAGATAATTTTGTTTTTATTTTAAATCCTGCCTGATACTTTGAATTTAAAATGTAATATAGCTCAAAGGCCTCACTGCAGTATAGGGGTTTTAAATTCTAAATTACAACACCATATATTCATATAAACTTTTTTTTAAGTTTTGTAAATACGGTCCAAGAGTTCATGGCTTCAGGTCTCAATTTAATGGGATTCCATAGACTTCTATATATATTATTTTTAATTAATCTACCTCTCCAAGCTCTCAATCTAATATTTGGTCTACGAGATACCATCAAAAATGTGTGCACTTCTCAAACTGGGTTTTTTTCTCTCTCCAGAGATACTTGTATGGAGATAAGAAACCCCATCAGCTGTGTTTATAACTCTGAAGTATATCCTGGAGATTTTTATTTCACCAGACATAATATCATGGCAAGTTTTATTAAAATCTTCAGGATTGCTTTCAACAATTTCTTTGAGTGATGCTGACTCCTTTAGAATAGAAACCCTATTTACTGTCATTCTGCAACTTTTGTAAATCAAGTCAGTATTTACCTCTGACAGTGCACACCTTCAAACGTGGGAATTGTCAATTGTCACAGCTATCAAGGGTGCACTTTTGGTGAGAGGAAATAACATGATTAGATTGAGTACTGAACAGTATTTTAAACTTTGATTTAAACCAACTGAGTTTAAATCATATCCATGCTAAGTAAACTACTAGTGCAAGTGTTTGTAATTGCTGAAGTAACATGATTTAATTCCTGGAAACAGTCATGTTTAATATGAAACTCTGCAGATATGGAAGCCATTTTTTTTACAAAACACGAGCAGATTGTCAAAAGGTACATAAAACATCAAGACATGACTCATATAAAAAGTACATGTACCCTAGGCAGTATGTTCACTCACACATCTAGAGGTGGTGCAGCGTAAAGAATTGTTTTTTAGAAAACAAGCTAAATTCCAAATATTACTAATCATCTAGCTCCCAAGCATGAAACAAAGCAATTATTCTATCCCTCTTACAGAAATGTTTAGTTCTACATCATTAATTTTAAAAAAAACACTCCCCATTTCATTATCACATCTGATAACTTGTAATGCTGATGACAAAAGATGAAAAGTCTACAAGTTAAAAGAAAACTTTCCCAGCTTCACTTACTTTCCGTTTTGCCAGACAGAGACCTAACTAGAATATATCTGTAGAAAATCTTGTGTGAAACATCCTTGCATAAAATAAAGTTGTTCTATTTTAAAAGTATCCGTTTGTATACTACTGTTTGTATATAAAAGAATAACCATGTGTTTGTACAAAATACTTTCCCATCATAAATTCCAAGGGACGTTCACGTCAGGACACACCTTTCAGGAGAAACAGCACTTCATTTCAGCAATTAAATACAATCTATGTTCCATCTGAGAACTGCTTGACTGTTCTAGAACTACATGTCCATTCAGGATGTGCTCTCATGTTTTATGCATGCTCTCTCAGACGTCAGTCTTAGGTTTTACTTCCAGGTATGCATGCACATCCTCCCAAAACCCGTGTGCATGAAATATTACAAGGCATGAATAATGTAGCAATGTATGGAAGTGAGAGCTGGACCATAAAGAAGGCTGACTGCCGAAGAATTGATGCTTTTGAACTGTGGTGCTGGAGGAGGCTCTTGAGTCCCCTGGACTGCAAGGAGAACAAACCTATCCATTCTGAAAGAAATCAACCCTGAGTGCTCACTGGAAGGACAGATCCCGAAGCTGAGGCTCCAATACTTTGACCATCTCATGAGACGAGAAGAATCCTTGGAAAAGACCCTGATGTTGGGAAAGTGTGAAGGCAAGAGGAGAAGGGGATGACAAAGGATGAGATGGCTGGACAGTGTCATTGAAGCGGCCAACGTGAATTTGACCAAACTTTGGGAGGCAGTGGAAGACACAAGGGCCTGGTGTGCTCTGGTCCATGGAGTCACGAAGAGTCAGACACGACTAAACGACTAAACAACATGCATGCACAATATTGCCTTAGTCTAGCCCACTGGTTCTTAACCTTGGGTTACTCAGGAGTTTTGGACTGCAACTCCCAGAAGCCTTCACCACCAGCTGTCCTGACTGGGGTTTCTGGGAGTTGGAAGCTGAGGCTCCAGTACTTTGGCCATCTCATGAGAAGAGAAGATTCCTTGGAAAAGACCCTGATGTTGGGAAAGTGTGAAGGCAAGAGGAGAAGGGGATGACAAAGGATGAGATGGCTGGACAGTGTCATTGAAGCGACCAACGTGAATTTGACCAAACTTTGGGAGGCAGTGGAAGACACGAGGGCCTGGTGTGCTCTGGTCCATGGAGTCACGAAGAGTCAGACACGACTAAACGACTAAACAACATGCATGCACAATATTGCCTTAGTCTAGCCCACTGGTTCTTAACCTTGGGTTACTCAGGAGTTTTGGACTGCAACTCCCAGAAGCCTTCACCACCAGCTGTCCTGACTGGGGTTTCTGGGAGTTGCAGTTCAAAAGCATCCGAGTAACAAAGGTTAAGAACCACTGGTCTAGCCTAACATGGTTTCTTGAGATATCTTTATACTAATTTCATTGTGTAAATTATGATTGCTGCATAAAAAAACAATTTATTTTTTAAATTCAAGAATGTAGTTGGCCACTGTGGCCACCTGGGCTAGACTGTTCGTTTTCAGTACATTGTCTGATGCAGGCAATATAAATCCTGATTTATGGAGTACCTTAGTAGACACAGGGCCTGATGTGCAATCAGAGAATACTTCTTGAAATGACTTAGCCACTTTTTTTTCCTTTTACTTTATGCTTTTAAACCTCAGGAAGAGCTCACTATCAATCCGGAATTTATCCTCCAGCTAATGCAACGCCAAGAAAGACGAATGCAGTTTAAATTTCGCTGGGACAAGTGACAATATTACTCCAGACGACCCTCAAAAGGAAAGGCAGACAGCTGTACTAGGAGGTGCGGTAGACCCTACAAGGCAGAAACTAAGGTATCATTGGGGCAGCCTCTCGGGGAGGGGGCCATTTCTTTTGTGGCTCACACACCCCACAAGAATACGAGGTGGCCAAAAAAAAAACAAAACCTTGCAAATTGTGGGCAAGTCCTTTGGGAAATGCCAAAGGACGCCTTCGAGCAGAAGCCGGGTCCCTCCCGCTCCCCTACGTCTTCAGAGAAGGTCAGCTTATACCGAGACCAGCCAGCCACACACGACGGGCGTGCACGCCGGCTGGCTGGCAGGGCAGCTACTCAGCAAAGAGAAGGCACTGTCGTCCGGCCCGCCTCGGCGGCTGTTCCAAGTACCCTCCCTCGGCCCCAACAGCCGCCTGGGGCGGCCCTTCGCCAGCCTTCGCAGCCCCCGTCCCGTCCACCGCGGCGGGAGGGGAAGCCTCCGGCGTGGAACAGCCACGCCCGCGCTTGGAGCACCTCGGCTCTCCCTTGACACCAGACCTCGACCCGCCTGGTTCCCCCAATAGAGAGAGGTACCTTCCAGCGCCTCGAAGATCGCCTGCGCCATCTTGGAGCCCAGGCACAGCCGCGATGCAGCCACCTAAGCGGGCAGTGTGGGAAGAGGAAGAGAAGGCTCCGGCTGGGCCGCCAGGGGGAGCGCGAGGCGGCGAGGTTGGGGCGGGGAGGCCGGCTGAGGGAAGAGCCTCTCTATGGGAAACGGCCGCTTTTCCCGGCAGGAAAAGGCTGGCTCGCCTTTCCTTGGAATATGCGAGGGCGAGAGGTTCGTCCTCTCAGGGAAGTCAGGGTCGCTTCACGGCGGACTCCCTCATTTCATTCGATGACATTTGCAAAGGCAGATCTATAAAACATCTGAAGAATATCTGTCCTGTTTTGTTTAAGTTTGCGGAGATTATCTCCAGCCTTCTAGAGGCTACTTATAAGTAGTGTTGCAGTCAAAATCCACTAATACTTTATTCATGTTGTTGTTGTTTAGTCATTAAGTCGTGTCCGACTCATCGTGACTCCATGGACCAGAGCATGCCAGGCCCTCCTGTCTTCCACTGCCCTCCCCCGAGTTTAGTCAAATTCATCTTGGTAGCTTTGATGACACCGTCCAACCATCTCTGTCATCCCCTTCTCCTCTTGCCTTCACACTTTCCCAACATCAGGGTCTTTTCCAGGGAGTCTTCTCTTCTCATCAGATGGCCAAAGTATTGGAGCCTCAGCTTCAGGATCTGTCCTTCCAGGGAGCACTCAGGGTTGATTCACTTCAGAATGGATAGGTTTGTTCTCTTTGCAGCCCAGGGGACTCTCAAGAGCCTCCTCCATCACAATTCAAAAGCATCAATTCTTCGGCAGTCAGCCTTCTTTATGGTCCAGCTCTCGCTTACATACATCGCTACATTATTCATGCCGTGTAATATTTCATGCGCTGGGGTTTTGGGAGGATGACACCAATTCTGAGGTTGCCGCTCAATCATACATCTTCCCCCCTCCCACTCAAAAAAGGAGCAAATTTTTCTGCCTTCCCTGTTTTCTTAGGGATTTTGGCAAGTGACAGAGAAAACCATTTAATCACTAGAAATTATTTCATGTGACTGTTGGGAGATCAGGCAGACGCACCTCTATTCTATCCTAGGACATCTTTGGACATGGTGGTGACAATGTGAATTAAAAATCAAGGAGAAGGTGATTCCCTTGTCTCATTTTTAAAAAATCTTGCCTGATTAAAAATTACATGTAGCATACCCGTTTTGTAGACTTAGCTGCAACAGATAATACTCGTTACTTCCTTTGGAAGTAGTCTAAATGTGTTCTGCCACAGGAAAGAATTAAAGTTCATTCATTGTTTTATTTTTAATAATTTAATGCTCAAGCTCAACTGGGACAGGAATCCAGGTCATACTGTAAACTAGTGTTGACAGAGTTTCTCCCTCACTCAGCATAGGCTTTCCCTGTTCTTTCCTCCTATTTTGGTTAATCTGATGTATTTAAATGAGAAGACAAGTCCCTGAATTGTAGGATCGCTATACAGTTAAATTTTATAGAAATATAATGTGCTTCATCAGACCACTGTTGAAGTGGCTGGTTACTTCTTTAGATCTCTGTATTGTATATCTCCTGAGCATTTGTTCCCTTTGGGTTGGTGCTGAATTAGCCCTTCAATATCAGTATTTGTGTTCAGACTTTTTTCCATTGCCTCCATTGTCTGTTCTTAGCTTTCCTTTCCATTTATCTGTTTTAATTGCTTTGCTGAGTGGTGCGTCCTTCTACAGGTCTTTGTCCTACGTTGCTTCCTAAGTGATTAAAAAAGAATAGGGGAAAAAAGGGATCAGGGATTTATCTGTTTTAATTGCTTTGCTGAGTGATGCGTCCTTCTCCTACCTTGCTTCCTAAGTGATGAAAAAAGAATATGAAAAAAAAAGGGATCAGGTCACACTGAAGAAATCCTTGCCATTTTGATAGTCTTTTAGCTATGAAAAATGTGAATTTTTGTTTTGGACTACAGATTTAGTGTTACCTGATGTTCCCCACACACTCACTAACCAAAACAAGATTGAACCATGCCTTCAGGTGGTGGCAAAAAAGCTCACAAAGTCAAGATTTTTGTTACTGGATATATTTTATATCACACGGATGCCAGGCAAAACATTAGCAACATCACCAACCTTTTAGTTAAAACAAGGAGAATGAATACTGTGTTTGGAAAAGCCTGTAGTCCATCCTCATGGAAAATGTGCTTATCCAGACTTATGGCCATTTATATTTTATGTAGTTTATACGTAGTCTTTCCCCAGATGTTTATGCATATAGCCTGTATATCTGCAGAGAGAAACTCTGCACATACTGCTGTTATCAATAAAAGCTATAGAAACAGAAGTTCTGCACTGTAGAATTAATGGACTGACATAGCACAAGCACAATTACCATGGTTCCATAGCTTGGGAAATAAAACAGTAATAATTAGCTTAGGAGTGATTACTAACATAGGAGTTGGATTGTAACACAAGTCTTGTTACCTTGAGATGAATAACACTAATAGTGAGATGATGTCACTACTGTTTGCTTTTCAGCTTTCTCTGACCCCTCCTTCTTTCATGTAATTGTATGTACTTAAGCATGTGCCTAAAAACTTGCCAACTCAGATATCATTCCAAGTATCTTACGAAGTCAGCTGTGTTCCTTGAAGGCTTATGCCAAATATCAATAAATTAGAATTATGGATTAAACTAATATAGCTATTTTCCTAGAAGGAATCATGATGCACTTTTGTTGTTGTTTAGTTGTTAAGCCATGTCTGACTCTTCATGACCTCATGGACCACAGCACACTAGGCCTTCCTGTCTTCCACTGCCTCCCAGTGGTAGCTTCGATGACACTGTCCAAACATCTCATCCTCTGTCATCCCCGTCTCCTCTTGCCTTCGCCCTTTCCCAACATCAAGGTCTTTTCCAAGGAGTCTTCTCTTCTCATTAGATGGCCAAAGTATTGGAGCCTCAGCTTCAGGATCTGTCCTTCCAATGAGCACTCAGGGTTGATTTCCTTCAGAAACGATGCACTTAGTCATAATAAAAGTCATCACACAATGTTAGCAACATTTTAAACCAACAAATAAAGGTAAAACCACTATATAACAGTATTTTTCCTAGGACTTTAAACTTGGCTTGGGCATTTCTTTATTGTTTCAGCGTTATAATGCTGGCAACTTTGGAAAATACATGGTTCAATCCACTGGAGGGCACTCTTACCCTGGCATTGATGGAACAGAACACGGGGAAACTACTACAGGAACTGTTGCAGAAGCGAACTTCAGAGTTAAAAAAATTAAAACGGTTCGCTTTGGCAAACACGTCTTGGCCAGAATAACGTATTCTCTGCTTCCCGTTGTGCTTAGCTTTGCCATAAAATGTGATGTCTCTGCAAGTGAAGCAGAACTTGAGGGATGGTATGGACTAAAAACAAATCATCAGTTCCTCCTAAAAACTCTTCCTTTCCAAAGAAGACTGTCTGATGTCTGTATAAAGGTCAAACATCTCCAGGTCACACCTTCATCTCTGCCTCCCGTGCATCTCTTGCATCTCCCAGTGGCTCTGCAGCCCTCTACTCCACCCCTGCTACCTTCATTGCTCCATCTCTTTCTTCCTACTCTTGCCTTTGGGCCCTTTTTCCCACACCACTCCCTGTATGTGGAACGACCTGCCATGGAAACGGTATCTGGCGGCATTTAAATTTCTTGGGCTAACAATATTATTTTTACTGTCTTTAATGGCAGAACGGGAAAATATATTTTCTTGTAGCTGAGAAAAGTAGACGAACAGGTGTAATGACTACCTGAGTGTTTTCAGAAGTACAGGAATCATCCATTGGAAGCACTGAAAAGGCTGCTTTGGCTGCAAGTGCTGATAAGATTTGCTGGTTATTTTGGACGCCTCTTCTTGCCCGCTTGGAGACAATAGGAAAATCCAGGAGTTTGTTATAGCGGGATTTAGTATAACAAAGAGAGACTTTGGTGGTCTATCAAATTCAAGTTTAATGTTCTGGAATGCGCGAAAACATTGCGCTGCAAATGAAGCACGACTTCACCGTATTAGTTCACAGGCGTTAATCTCAAGACCGCGAGCAAGGGACATGTAGTGCGTTGGCGTTATCAATCGTCAACCGAATGTTCCATTCGTATAAATTTTTTTCAAATAATATAAATGTAGAAACTCTACTCCAACGGTCTAAGCCAGACGTTTCTTGGGGGCGGGGGAGAGAAACGGCGAGAGTGAAACTATTCCTGTTTGTAAACTTTTTTTACTGTACCTGTGCCACGAGTCGTTTCTTCGTCGCGTTCTTGCCAGGAAAGGCGGAACCACGATGCCTGGGTTGCCTTTCCCGCACGGACGCCCTTTTCCGAAACTCCACTTCCATGCATTCGGTGCTTCAGGGCGAATCGTCGTCTCTGGCCGAGAAAGTAACTGCGAGGATTTGGAAGTGTAACTCTTTCGGTCATGGGTGCTGAGGCGATGTTCAGGACTCTGCTCTATACCGTCAATTCCCTCCTGCAGCAGCGCAAATACCACGCGGCGCTGGCCGTGGTCAAGGGGTTCCGCAACGGAGCAGTGTAAGCCGGGGATGGGTAGGTGGTGGTCGTGGGACACACACACACACACCCTTAGGTGCCCTTGCATCGCATCCCAAACACCGCTGGGAGCGAGGCTTTTAAAAAAGGCTACTTTGCCAGTAATGGACTCACTAAAGCTTTACGCTGGGACTGGGCGAGCACCCACGGACTAATTTAAGAGTCGCCCTCTCTTGTCAAACGGAGGAGCGTCGGCGGCCTCTCCCGGGCAGGTGCAGGTAGCCTTGAATCTGAAATGGCTCCCTTCAAGACAATACTGTACTGCCTTTGAGATGAGTTGCAGAGCAGACCGCAGCATTAAATATTTGCATCATTCTCTGAGCCAGATCCACATTTAGTTATCCAGAACTGATAATGTATAGAACTTCAGTGAGGCATGACATGGCATTTTGGTTTGCTATAAAATGTTTCCCAACACGATGCGGGTGAGCACAATACTAGGTTCTTCACTAGCTCAGGCCAGTATCCCAGGCCACTAGCCAAATGGGTGAAAATGTGGTCTGCCACCAATTGCCCTGGGGATGGGATTCCAGGGGGCAAAGACTACATGAGAGCCTGCTATGGCGGGATTTACTGTGTGAAATCCTGATTGCTTGTTTTGCTAGCCTTTTCTGTTCCCAATCTATTCCTAATACAGTAGCTCCTGTTTTTAGGAACAATACACCAGTTTGTGACGACATTAAACCACTGCTTGGTTCCTTTGGCATTTCATGTATCTTTCGTCAGTGTCTCAAAAGCTTGCTCCTCCTTCCCTCATTTCAACAAGTTTTTTAATGTCTGCATTTCAGAATTTCTGTTGGGCCATATCTGCAGTGTACTTCTATTTATGTCCTTAACTCTGTATTATATGTTTTGTCTCCTACTCCTTCTCTGAAGTACGGTATATGTGTATGTTACTTCTAGCACTTCAGTAGGTAGCTCTGACAGTTGAGAGGGAAGTGTGCCTGTTCGTACTCACACTTCATTAGATTGTGAATCCTCTGGGAGCAGAAATACTTTTTTTTTCTGGTCTGCAAAGTGCCAGTCAGATGTCAAATGCTTTATAAACAAAAAGGTGAGTTTGCAACATGATGAGCTACAAATACCAAAGCAATAATATTGTTATGAGGAGAATGTTAAATAGCTTTTTCAAGCTTGTAGGCCATATTGGACAATTATTTTAAACTTACTTATCACTTTCATTCCCTTAATACAGAAGAGTTATGAAATCTTTGTATCCCAACATACAATATGGAAATTGAGAAATGGTACTGTCTATACTATTTATATTTATTTATTATTTCAACTTATATACAGCCCCATAGTGCAACACAGTCCCTGAGCTCTTTACATCAAAGCATACCAACAATAAAAGAATAAATACAAAGCAGTATGCAAATACATATTGACTGTTTGCCAGACCTAAATATTTTACAGCTAATGAGATTAAGACGTGTGATTTAGTAACTAAATTCAAAGAATAAAGTAATTAAAATATTATTTATGTCTATTTTATTGCCCTTTTCTTTCGGCAGCTATGGAGCAAAAATCCGTGCCCCTCATGCTCTGGTGATGACATTTCTATTCAGGAATGGAAGGTATGTGTTCTCATTAAAATGATAGGTATCTCTCTGTCAGATATCTAGAAATTGTTTATTTTTTAGGGCATGCAGTTTTATATAAGTGAGATTTTGAAGCTGAGCTCTTGAAATGATCAAACAGCAAACCCTTCTGAGCCTATTGAACCCACTGAGATGTATTTTAAATGTGTTTTCTTTCTCTTTCTGACAGATTTACCAGCTGAGAGTAGGTATTTTTCTATTAGACAAATAGAATCCTGTTTTAATTAAAGGTGGCTATGAATGATGGGCAGAATCCACACTCAGGACTTCTGCTGGTGGAATAGCAAGAGCCTGCAGACATGGGAAGGGCCTATCTCTTCTTCCCACTGCAGTCCTCCATGCAATTGTCCTGGTATCCCTTTTGTACATTTTGTACCTGTTATATAATACCAGTCAAAGATTATGTCTTTTATTTTTGGATAATCACCATGATCTTAGAACTGCAGAGCAGGAAGGAACCCTGTGGATTATTGAGTCTAGCCCTTGTCAAGGAGGCACTGTGGGGAATTGAACTCTCAACCTCTGCCTAACCCAGTGAGCTCTCCAGCAGTTCTAAATCTGATTACAATACAGTATATTTGTATATGACAATAATAGGTAGGGCCTTTGGCCCTGTTTCACCATTAAACACAAGAAGAAGAGGAGAAGGAAGAGACTAAGGGCAGTGAGATAACCATTCACGATTGATTGGGGTCCCAGCAGCCTTACCACTCCCAGAAAGCTGAATAATGGACAGGAAGGCCATACTGTGTTTCCCTGAAAATAAGACAGGGTCTTATATTAATTTTTGCTCCAAAAAACGCATTAGGGCTTATTTTCAGGGTATTTTTAAAATGTTTTTCATGTACAACCATCTACATTTATTCAAATACAGCTATGTCATCTTCTGGTTGTTGCAAAATAGTGGAAGGCGGGGTTTCACAACCGGGGCTTATTTTGGGGGTAGGGCTTATATTACGAACATCCTGAAAAATCATACTAGGGCTTATTTTCAGGTTAGGTCTTATTTTCGGGGGAAAGGGGTATGTAGGTAAAGAGCATATGCCATACCAAAGTTTTAGACTTTAAACTGCTACAAGATGATTTTGTATTAACTAAAGGACTTTCTCAAACTTTTACAATTGACTCCAACTGTAGATATTTTGTCCAGACTAATGCAATAACAATTGGGTTAATTGTTAACAGCCTTTAACCTCACGGGAATTCAGCACTGTTTAGGGGCAAGAGTGTTATGTGCATTAACAGCTCATCATCTCTTCAGTTTACAGGAGAAATTGAAAGCCATTATTCAGGCCACCTATACCCATTCCAGAAACCTGGCATACTTTGTATTCACATACAAGGGTCTAATGGCCTTTCAGTCACGAATGCAGGGAAAGAAGATTCCAGTTCACTCTTTTCTCGCAGCCTGCATTGGGGGATGGCTAGTATTTGGGGAAAATAATAACATTAATAGCCAAGTAAGTGGTTGTGCTATTTTCTACTTGGTCTACATTTTTGTCCTTGTAATGTGAAAAGTAAATTAAGCTATGTTAGTGATATATCTTGCTTTATCTTCTTCTTTCCTTATTGAATTTCTGTGTATGCAATTCAGCTAAAGCTCTTAGGGACAAAAGAATAGCTATACCACAACTCTTTTGCTTCTTATTTAATAAGTACCATATTTTCCCGTGTATAAGATGCTCCCCATGTATAACACCCCCCCACTTTTCTGACTCAAAAGTAAGAAATCTAAGTGTGACTTAGCAAGTGTAGGGGGAAAGGGATCAAAGCCTTGCAGGATGGCTTTTATCCCTGCTTTCCCTTCCACTTGTTTTTGTTGTCTCCTCAGCTTACTTCCGTGTATAAGACGACCCTCAATTTTTATTCTAAAGATTTTAGACAAAAGTATAGTCTTATACACAGAAAAATACGGTATGTATGTATGAGCACTTACTGTATTTATGAGCATTTACCGTATTTTTCACTCCATAAGATGCAGTTCCCCCCCCCCCAAAAAAGTGGAGGGGAAAGTGTGTGTGTCTAATGGAGCAAATACTCCCCCCCGCGCCCGATCGTTGTCTTCCCAAGCCTCCGGGGGCCTCAGAAGGCCCCACCCCACCCTCACCGACATCCTCGGAGGCTTCCCCGGCTTACAAAGCACAAGGCACCCGGCCGCTTCTCCTTCCTCCTCCTGCCCCACGCACGGTGATCCTCCAATGTGTGTGCCCCACCCAGGGTGTTCAGTGGACCTTACTCATGAGTAGACCCGCGCCTTTGTCAGCCCTTACTAATGAGTAAACCCACTCCTTCGGCCCCGCCCCACCCTCACCAACACCCTCCTACCTTGATTGCTGCTGCTGAGGTCCTTTGGCTTTGGAGCCAAAGACAGACTAAGGGAATCCAGGCTGCCCTTTGCAAAGATGGCAGCTGCAGCTTCCCTACCCTAAAAGAAACTGAAGCCACCATCTTTGCAAAGGGCAGCCAGTTTCCCTTTTTACACTCCATGGCTCCAAGGCCAGAAGACTTCAGCACTGGCAATTAAGATTGTGGTGGCGGGGGACTCCCATGGTGCCTTGAGGCCTCTGGTGGCTTGGGAAGGCAACGATGGCAGGGGGAGACCCACAGGAGGCTTCGGACCAGTAAAGTGCTGCTTTTTACTTTAAAAATGTTCTGGATGGGTTTTGGAGGGTAGGTTTGGGCTGGGGGGGTATGTTCCTATGTTGCTTTGTTTTTTTGGTGAGGTTTTTTTTGTTTTTTGTTTTGCTGTTGTTGTTTTGGCAGTCCCTGCGTGGAACTTGCACTGTTTATTTATTTAATTGCCCACCTCTCATACGAAGGAATATTTTTTCCTGTTTTCCTCTTCTAAAAATTATGTGTGTCGTATAGTCAGGTCTTTGAAAAGGTGATGTTTGTGATACCTGTGATGTTTCTCAGAATGAAAAAATTATGGAAGGAAGAACACCTGCATATATTGACTTCTGTTCCATAGAATGAAAATAAACAGTTCTAGGAAAATAACTTTTCCTTCCTTCCTCCCCCCAAAATGAAAATCAAGACAACTTAAAAATTGAACACTTAGCTTCTTTCCAAGCAGGGGACTTTGCATGCATACTGTAGATATTGCAATGTTACTAGTAGGCAAAGATGCATGCGCAGCTAAGGTTTCCAATAGTTATATTTTGTAATAGACATAAGCATTTGCACAAGAATGTTGAAATGGAAGCAGCCTAACTGTGAGAATAGAAGAGCATCCTGCTATGAAAGACAGCTTGACATAATAATCAACTAAGTCATCTAAAGTTGAGGACTGTTTAAAATATTCCTGTTTTCTTTAATATTTATTCATATTTCCCTATACAGATAAACATGTACCTGCTGTCTCGCATTCTGTTTGGCTTGTCCCGACTGGCAGTGGAGAAAGGCTACATCCCAGAGCCAAAGCAAGATCCCTTCCCTCTTTTTGCTGCTCTGGTTTGGGGGATTGTTCTCTGGCTCTTCGAATATCACCGGCACACTCTGCAGCCATCATTGCAGTCATCCATGACCTACCTGTATGATGACAGTAACGTCTGGCATGATGTTTCTGACTTCCTTGTATATAACAAACAACCTGCTACCAAATAGTCTTGAATGATATTTAAATAATGGCACATTCCAGGATCAGGGTTTACATGTGTTTATCTTAGTGTATGTTACTGAAATCTTACAATGGTTAACTTTGGATGTGTATCTGGATGCAGCGTTCTGGGTAGGCTAGTAATTTCTGCTGATCAGAGCCTGAAAAAGGATCATCTGTAAACAAAACATTTTGTACATTATTTCTCTCTTTTGCAAGAAATCCCATTTCCTTCTCCAAACAGCTATGGAACAGCTTTGGAAGTAGGAAAACAAAACATAAATGCACTGATCTAAAAACTTGAAAAATGACAGTGACTGTATCACATCTAATGTTGACATACCAGCTGGTCTATGTAAAAATTCTGATTGCCTCTATGTGTTAAGTCCTTCACAACTTCTTCAGTTAGCAATGGGAGAAATTGGTTAGTACTTTCCATGGTAGGGAATACTGCATAAAGCTCAAGTTTAACAGCTTGGTGTAAAAATGCAGTTCCTCAGAACCTTTTTATCTTTGTGATTATTTGTTCTCTTTTTTATATTAATGATACAAAGTAACATAAGACATGGAAAGATACACTTCTATATTTAAAGTTAAGGAACAGAGACAGGCTTCAATGAAGATATGCATTTAGCACTTTGGCAGATCCTTTTTAACATATCACATCTGCCTTTTATACAGACTGCCCAGAATTTATTGGATACAACGCATGGATAGAATCGCAGTCCTTTTTCTTAGGCTCATGAGAGAAAAGGAGAAGGAAGATCCAATATGGGGGTGGCAGCAAATAATCTGTTCCTCATTATTTGTAGGGGTGGGGGAGATAGGTATCAGAGTGGTTTTCTTTGGCCTAGCCTCTTTCAGTTGGAAAAAAAGAGGCAGCCATATGTAATTGCAACTGTTCCTGCAGTTAGCAAGTAGACCATGGTGCTAGGTAGACATCTGCTCCAGATGCCATTACCTGTCTGCCGTCATAGAAGCAAAAGTGCCAAGAGGACCATTAGAATGGGCCTTTTATATCACTGTATTTATCAGAATTTTAAAATGTAGTGGATGACAACAGATCTAATGTAGGAAAGTAAAAGATCTGCAGCCCATTCAGATAGATTGGCAATAGTTGGTGTACCTGCACTAGTATTGCACAGAGTGTGGAGAAGCGCAGTGTGATTTAAAAAAAAAAGATCACAGAAAGCAGCTTGAAGAGAGGAGGGAAGATTTTGTAGGAAACGAAAGTTACCCTAAATGCCAGTTTCTGCCTTCATCTTTGTACAGTACCTCTCTTAAGTAATGGATCCATGTTAATGGATGACCTCACACACACATAAACACTGGTTAGAACTAAAGACTCCTACTGAATGAATTGAGCTGTCTGGCTGGAGTTTATATTTCATTTTAGAATAATCTTGAATTCTGTAGGTCTGCTGTAGAGAAAGTATCCATAAAACAGTTACTCACAATAATCCTTTTTATAGGAAATGGGTGGAGGAAGAACAAATATCTATCTTTACATGTTGGTTAAGCATGGATTGTTAAATGAATGCAGGTAGATAATGGGAAGATTTTGGTTCAAGAGCAAGAGAAGTGCTATTGATTATAAACAGTGGTCTGATATTTTGGAAGAAAAATACTGGCTGTGGTGTTTTCATTGAGTTACCTTTTATGGCTGTTTGCTTATCAGCTTGCACTGGTATATTTTGTATCTATGAGAGTCAATGCCGTGGGCTTTGAAAATTACAGGATCATAACACAGATATAAATTTGTAATTCCTTGTCATACTCTGCTCTTCAGTTTGTTTGGTACCCTTATATCTTCTTGTATCCCTGAGCAGTGGCCCTGATTAATTTATTAGTGGGCTGAGGTCTTCCATTCTTCTGCATCTTAAATAGCCTGCAGAAAAAAGTCTTACACAAACAGCCATAGTTGTTGCCAGTGAGACATTTGCGATAATCTCAACACTGCCTACCATATATTTTCTTAATTTCCATGTATCTGCTGCCCTCCTCTCCCCAGAATAGTTTGCTTTTCTGGCAAACTGTCTGAGACTCTTAGCTGTCTGCCATTCTCAGAGCACTAAACATCCATAAAACAAATCCAACGGTGGTCCCACCACAGCAGCACCCTTTACAAATCTGTCTGTGGCAATTAACAGTGCTTTTTTACAGATTGCTTTCCTGCTGTGTGAGGGTAGAATGCTACGCTACAAAGTCAGTCAATTTCCCAGGGAGGTAGCGGGAATAATTTCCAACAGCATTTAAGATTGCCACTGTTCCTATAGCCTGATGGGTGAGGTCGGATCCCTTCTGCCACTAATGTGACTGAACAATGCCAGTGTGTGCTGGGGTAGTGAACTAGAAGTAATGGGTCTGTCTGAAGACTCTTGGACACGTAGGTTCCATTCCTCCCTCTTCCAGATCGTATTGTTTGCCAGGCTAAGTGTTCTGTTTGGTTTTCATGCTAATAAGAAAGAAACACAAACAGAAATAAGGAGACGGTTTGACAGTCTACCTCCCAAGCAGCGCATCGCATAAAAATTAAGCAAGCCCCAACCATTCTCCACTCCAAAGATCAAAACAGACATGCATATGAACTATGTTTACAACAGCTCAACGGTGGCTTCTCATTGAGCACTCAGCTCTTTTGTGTTTTGTTCAACAGGAGTTCTTGGTTCCCAATGCTGGGGAACTGTCGCTCATCTTATTTGCCGTGAGTGTACTGTGCTTGAGTATCATGGTTTGCGCAAAGGGGTGATATAGTGCAAGAAACATACAGAATGTGCATTCTGTATTTTATACATGCATACATACATATACTATATATGTATTCTAATTCTGTATACAGGCTGCTGGGGGCAGGGAGCCAAATTCCTTGAGCCTGAAATTAAATAAATAACCATCTGCACCAATTCAATTACTTAGGAAAACGTGATAACGAATACAAACAGCAAAAGGTTAACGCTTCAGGTGTTACAGTTCTTGTTTTTATTCACAGTTCAAGGCCTCAACAAAGACTAGAGTAATATAATATGGTCTTTAACAAGGTTTGGGGACTTTAGCTCTTCCAAGCATAACATAATAGCCAGAATTCTGTTGTTGTTCACATACGGTTTCTGTAAGCTGCTGCAGGTTAATTGATGAAGTGCCAGAGTGTGTCACAGTCACAGGCCTAGTCAAATGGGCAGTTCAGCCACCATGATGCACCCTGAGACTTTGTCAATTAGCTGCAGTTAGCAAGTTACACAAACTTTACTCAAACACAAATGAAATCCTGGCCTTCATTTTTTGTAAAGGCTATTTAGAACAAACTTTCTAAAATGCTTAGAAGTCCAGATGGGCAGAGAACTGAAATGTTATGAACAAGATTAAGCCATGAAATAGAAAAAGTGCCAGGGCTATATAAATGTCTTTCTCTTAATATCTACACTTCCCTGGAGGCGGCCTTCTATTTTGACACACGTGTCTCTGTGTGTGTGCTCCAACTACTTTTTCTTCTTTTGAGCCAACCCTTCTTGAAGTTCTAAAGAGGAAACAGTGTACAAGTGATTGTTTTTGAGACTGAACATTGGCCATTCATTCTCAGCTGACGTGAAAATTTGTCTTGAGTGCTACAGATAAAAATGAGTGGGTAATAGCATTAAATTTGGTTTTCAGATTTGATACAGTCAGCTTAAATCTTATCGTTTGTAAATACATGGTTTTCTGATACATAAAGTTATCACTGAATCTTTAGCCAAGGAGAAGCAGAATTTTCCAGACAATAATAGAATGGGCATCTATAACAGACTATACCTTTGATTGTTTGGCAATATTATATGAATTGAAACATAAAGTGAAAATAAAAGTTACTGACTCAGGTCACATAAATTAAAAGAATGCTGTATTTGCAAAATGTCAGGTCACATAAATTAAAAGAATGCTGTACAGTATTTGCAAAATAATGTAGTAGAAAATTAAGTTTCTAGTTAGTAAGGACTAACTATGGACACAATTGAAATACACCGTTTGCATGTTATTGAACTAGGGGAGACTAAATAGAAAATACCTGCTTTCATATGGTCTTTCTGTATAACATGTGATTTATCTTCATTTTAATTAATTTATAGGGATGGACAAACCAACAGCTTGTAAATTCTTATAAGAATCCTGAGAATGCCAGCTTTCATTTTGAATAGATGTGTTTACCTCTTGTAACTATAAAGTTTGCCTATCTGAAAAGCACTAAAGGAACAGGCACAAAAGGTGATTTTAAAAGAAGCATAGACTTGTTTTTTTTCTAAGAATTCTTAGTTGAAATAATTGCAGGATAAGGATTTTGTGCAAGTGTAATATATCTGTCAACTGTAATTTAGCATCTGCCATCTCCATTAAAATGATATGCAGATTATTATGAGCAATTAAATATGTATATTAGCCACAGCTGTCCAGCTGACTTTGTTTGCCAGTGTAGCCTTCCATAGTGACTATGTTGCCTGCCTCTACTCTAAGCATCTGATAAAGTTAATTAAATTGATGCTTAATTATATACCTATAGGTATATACCCTATATATGTACATAATTAAGGTATATGCCTTAATGTTCTTTACAAGATAGAAAAATAAAACATAAACTAGTACTCTAATATTACTATCATTTAGTGTCTCATCTTAAGATAGAAAATAAATAGTCATGAGTGCTAGGGTTACAACAGAAGATGCAAGCATCTTACTATTCAGTAATGCTATATACCTTGATTCCAGGGGACACTTAGAAGACTTTATGATGAACAGAAGTACTAAACTTGTTTTATTTTCAGAAAAACAATGTAATTTTAGAAGATCAGAACTCTGTCTTTCATAAAGTTGGACAACCAATCATAGCAAAAGTAATCACCGGAAACAGACGTAATTTTGCATTAGCTGTGACAGCAGTGGAACCAGATCATATCTTGGTGCATAATGATTAAATACACTATTTTAATAAACATTAATGATAAGATATTAATGACAGAATGAGTCAATATCCTCATTTTTGTGTGGGAAGTAACAATTAGCCCAGTCAGCTCACATTCATAC